ATAGGCCATTACCTTTGTCATAAGCATGAAGGTGTATACGAAGATCGAATGATGTTACTTTGACACTTGATCTCCTCCCTTCAATGACGTTTTCGAATCTTAAACTTAATAACATTATGACTATGGAATAGGTTAAGATTTTACAATGGGCTCCAAGAAATTAGTTAATTACAAATATAATCTAATGATCTCCCCCTTTGGCAATTTTTAACAAAATACACAAGTTAATTAAGATTACAACTCAAAACCATTGAAGAAAAAAATTATAAACTAATCTCAACTCTAATGCATACATTGTAAATCTCTATATAGTACAAGGATCTACTTTTAATGAAGCTTAAAGATCGTAGTCCTACACATCACCACTCAAACCAAAACCTTGTGAAAAACATCATATGTTAGAAAAACACGTAACATAATCACAAGTTTGGAAAGTACCAAGATAATAAGCATAGGACATAAGTATGTATATATTATGCAAGTGCAAATATGTAACATGTAAGAAACTAACTTACCTAATATGCTTGTGAACTATTGATTTATCAATATGAAACATATCAAGTTTTTCCCTTAGTTGGTGTTCACAAGTAAACTAACAAGTGAAAAATAAACAAAAAAAAAAAAAAAGGGTGACTTCATGCCAAGTTTTCAAATTTACTCCCCTTGAGTATTTGAACAAACTCCATCTTTTTATGTTCATATGTAACATATCTAGCTTTGTCAAGAGTAAATATCCCCGATTCTTCTCATATGTACTTAAAATATTCTCCACCTTTTTATCACAAATGTCTACCCAATGACGACCCATGACAAGCAAGGTACAAAATCAAGTTACCTAACATATTTTTATCTTATTTGCTACAAATGTCAATACAATGACGACCTATAACAATCATGACATAGAATCATAGTATAATAACAACATATGAATGCACAATAACTAGCCAAATCATGCAAGAAAACTAAGCAAAAGACAAACAAGACATATAACACAAAGTCAAATATGATTCAACATTAATAAGTAGGACCAAGAGTACGTCACAAATAAGAGCTAAACAAATAAAAGTAAACAAAAGGTAAAAAGTCAATAGAAAAATAACACAGTACTTTAGTGCAAGACATGAATGAATGTAAGACATTCTCAAGCGCACATATGACCTATACTGAGTCTCTAAGAGCTATAGCTCAAATAGTTGCATCACCACCATCTCTATCGAGTGTCTTGGGCTCATCATCTGAAATAAAGCTAGAATTCTGCATCATGTGCCTAAGATATCAGACATCCCTCCTAATCTCTCGCTGATCCATCGGAGGCTTGCATGGCCTCATCAATAGCATCCATGCAGAGAGCAGAAAGCTATGCTATTGATCAATACTGCTTTGTAGTTGTTCTAGTGCTAACTGAATGGCAGTCCACTAATCCAACGCATTCGTAGGAGGTGTCCTAGGGAGTGTGGTACGTGGGGGTATGGCCTCGTGCCTACCTCGACAGTGGTGCATAACTATATGTACCATGCTCTATAAAAGTAGTATCATGAATCTTATCCTCAGTCTCGTCACTCTCTGCCTCTATCTCCATAGGGTCAATGGTATATTGTACGTGTGTCTCACTTTGTCTGAAATACTCCTTCCCTAGAGGTCTCTTTGGTCTCATCTAATGGTAAGAGTCTAAAGCACTAGCACCCTTATCTAGACATTTATGGGTGATTAGAGAACCAAATGGAAGAGTATCGGTAATCCTCCTCTCGTCAAATGTTCTTCGAATGACTCAAAATATCACACATGGCAATCTATCTCCAAACCTGTATCAATAGCATGTAGCAAATAGGCTCGTGCTACAGGAAAATGGAGATGTGAGTCTTCGGGTCAATATTGTAGTTGACTATCAGATTTATAAACCAATAATCCCTGGTCAAAAATCCTTGTGGTACCACAAATGATGATTCCAATCGTCGGGATAAAGTAGTCTATGCAACACTGATGCAATTGATAACAGTGTGGGTATAGCACTCTCATATCAAAAATGAAAAGGATCATGTGCTACCCAGGAAAAATGTAGGGTGGTGACAATAAGGTCAGTGAAAAACTCAAATAACACACCTCAGACGTATGTCGTGAAATGCTTACTATCCTTTGTAGTGTCATGAATATGTGTGTAAAATTCTCTGAACATGTCCATATTTGCAAGCACTAGAGCCGCAAATAGCTCAATCCACCATCTCGAATCAAATAACAAAGGGATAGAAGTGTTATTTACCCCAACGTGATTGACCCCTTGCTCCACAAGCACAATCCGTGATGAAAATTGTTTCCTATATATCTCTCAGTACTGTGGTGCCTAAAAGTGAGCTTGACTACCCAAACCTTATGCTCTTGCCCTTTTCTCATATCTTGGCGACATTTTTCATAAAGCTATTGGTGAAATAGTGTAAATGTGTATAATAAACTCAGATCTAAACTCAAACTAATACTTAATCTCAATCACTATAAAGTTTGATCACTTGGAAAAGCTTCGGGGTAGGATAGAAATAATGGCCTCTTTGATGAGGATATAATATTGCATATTCTAGCTCTCGTATCATTCATATTAGCTATGTTAGTTACTTATTTCTCTTGTTTTAGTTTAGTTTTTTTTTATGAAGAATATTTGTGTTTGTACATAAATGAGTATAAAAACACGATTTTGCACACATTTTAATGTTATGTAGGACTTGGAGGTTGAGTTAGGAGATTTAGAAGTCAAGCCAAGGGCATTGCAAGCATAATTGAGGAAAAGGCTAGTGTTACCAGTAGGTCTTCTACCAGTTCAATAGCAAGCAGATTTACATTCTACCAGTAGAAGTTCATTCCTATCGGTAGAAATGAAATAGAGACCTCAGTTACCGATAAGTTGATACTATTCTATTTGTAGATCTTAAACCAATAGCTATGAAGAGCTACCAGTTTGTGTGAAATAGAGAGATTCTACCAGTAGGTCGTTTTGTGCTTTCTACCGGTAGGTCAGTGTATTTCTATTGCGAGGACTGTTTTGGGAAGCTGATCTGCTGTGATTTAAAAGGGCCGTGATTGGTGGTTTAACAGAGAGGATTTTCAGCAGATATTCTTCTATAAATACCCAAGCCTAGCCAGAGAGAAGAGGATCGAATTTCATCATTCACTTCACCGTTCTTTAGGCGTTCTTTCTCTGAGGGTTAGAACTAGGGTTTTCCAAGCTTTATTCTACATTTAGTCTTCAAATTATTGCAAAACGATTACTTTTAATTCTCTATTGTGAACGATTTACATTCGTTGCAATTTAATTCAAGGTAATTTCTTTAACATATAATTTCAATTCCAAGTTTTATTTGCTTTCAATTACAATCATGCTTTCTTCAATTGCTGTGGTTTTCAATTTCATTATGAGTGAATAGTCGTATTTCGGGTTGATTGAATGAGGGAGTCTTATCCGTGAATGAGGATTTGGACTCAATTACGGTTCTTCTAGAGATTAAGTATTTGGTTGTTTTTGAATGATTAAAGTTGAAAACACATTTGATATGTATATCTTCTTTCTTACCTGTCGACAGTTAAATCCAACACGAGTAATTTTTAGAATCGCTACAAAATTAAATCAATTAGCTTAAATACATATTTTTTTGTTTTCATTTAGGTGTCAATTGAATATTTTCCGCTTGAGCGAGTTCGAGTATGATCTCAAGTGAGCTATCAAATTGGGTCATCTGTCTATGGTGAGATGAACTCTACCGATTAATCGGTCTTTTCTTTAATTGTTATTTCTTAGTTGATAAATTCTTTAACCAATCTTCCAAAAATCCAAAGTTCTTACTTTTCTTTGCCTATCACTTGATTGAACTACTCATTTTTCCTGAGAGACGATATCAGTTTTCGACCGAGTTACAAACATGATACATTCCTACACTAGAAAAACCTTTGTTATTTAACCCACCTTTGAGACACAAGCACTTTTTTCTTGGGAGTGAAAAAAATGTTTTTCTATGAAACACAAAGCATGTAGGGTAGTTGCATTTAAAATATGACAAGTTTAATGGAACTATTTAAAATTTTGGGTAGTTATATTGGTGGCATGACAAAATCAGGTAAAGCCTTATCGTAAGATATTTTATATCGAAGTTAGAAGGTGGAATTAGAAATTAAAAAAAAAAGATAATTATGTAAGATCATTTATATATTTTATGCTTTGGTACTTTTTTTTTTATCTAAGAATTCTTCCATTGGGAATAATTAGTGGCCCTCGACTCATTCAATATTAGCGGATTGAACCGAGGTGTGAGATTACAATATAGTCTCAATTTGGTCGTGGGGAAAATAACCCTTGGCGTGTGAATGAATTGTTCTGAAGTTTATTTATATTTTCTAAAAGAAAGGTGTACTTTGACATGAAGTAGTTGTTAATAGCAACATGATTTCTATGTTTTATTCCTAAAATGTTTGTTAAAGGTGATGGTGGGATTGCTGTTTTTCAAAATGTGATCCATACTTGTTTTACTGTTTCCTTATTATATGATGTTGGTATGCTCACTAAACAAGTTGTAAAGCTTACAACCCCACGATTAATTTTGGTATTTAAGGTGATTGAAGTCTGTGTTGATCCACCGTACAGTCTAGAGTTATGAAAAAAGGTGCTGCAATGTAATAAAATGGTTAGGGTGACACTGGGTTGTTTGTACTAATCCTCTCCGACGTGTTAAGGAAGAAAGAGTGCTTATTAATATGATGTATGACTGTTGGTTGTAATACTTATTCCAGAAGGTATGTATAAAGGAGTGTGTTGGTTATCCTTAGTCAAGGGTGTGATGTTTCAATCTATTAATATACCATGTAGCAACATGTGGAAAATAGGGATAAACGGTCCACCCCATCCATGGAAAGGTTAAAGGGACCCCTATTGGGGTGTGCGTGACAAATTTTGATTTCAGAGCCTTACATATTTTTTTAATAAGTCAAGTTTAGGGGTTATAGTGGATCCTTACACACCACTAATGGATGTGTATGTGCTGTTGAGTCTAGGGATTTAACTAGGGTTAGTTTTGGGTATAGAAAAGTTTGTGATGACGTATAATTGAGTATTATGACATTACATGCATTTTTATTTCCATAAACTGTTGGGCAGAGGTGCTATGGATCCAGTTTTGAATCCAAAATATGTTGAGGAAGAGGTTCCTAATGTTTCTACTCAGAAGGACAAACAAGTTTTTGAGGTACAAATGGTGGATCAAGGGCAAGGTGAGAATGCAGAAAAAGCTATGTATGATGCAGTTACAAGGATGGCTGAACAACATGCTCAATTCTTTGAATGGTATACAGACCAACAACAAGTACCCCAAACATAGAGACCAGATTCAGGGAGTACATTATTTGAGAGCCTCAAAAAGTTAGATCCACCAACATTTTTTGGGACGAGTACTTAAGTTGATGTAGAAAATTGGTTAAAGAGAATAGAGCAAATATTGAAGGTGATGGCCGTGGCAGACTAGCATAAATTGAATTTGGATACATTTATGCTAACAAAAGAGGCAGAATATTGGTGGGATGTTACATGTCGTCTAATGACTACACCGCCAATTAATGCACAGTGTCTGCAACTCCTATTATAGTGATGTGGGGGCAATTTAAACAAGTATTTGATCAAAAGTACTTTCCTTCATCTTATCGAGTTCAAAAAGAGAAAGAGTTCATGTATTTGACTTAAGGAAAGATGACAGTGTCAGAATATGAAGCAAAGTTTATTGATTTATCTCATTTTGCTATGACTATGGTGGTGACAAAGGAGTCCAAGTGCCAAAGATTTGAGAATGGACTAGATCTACCAATACAATCAAGGGTTTCTACTCTAGAGAAAAGGAATTTTGCAGAATTGGTAAATAAAGGAAAAATAGCTGAAAGGAATGTGTAGGAAATGATACGACGAAGGGAGTAATTTAAGAAAACCCTCTTTGAATCATTTCAATTGAAAGGAAGTAACAACAAATCATTTCCTTCTGGGAGTTAGAGAAATTAGTTAAGGGTTCAAGTGGGACACCACAAAGTCATGCTACAGTAGGAAAAGAGGTCTTTCAGGGAAAGGGTAGGGGTTTGCAACACCATGATCTAATCAACAGCGTAGGGGAATCTTCAGAGGTCAATCAGGAGGTGATGTCCACTATATCTAGTGTGGTAAAGTGGGACACTATGCTTAAGATTGCTCTACATATGGAGATGACATTCATAGATGCTATAATTACGGACAACCAAGACATGTTCGATGGAATTGTCCTCAGAATACAACAACTACTTATTCAAGAGTGAGTGTAGCTACAAGTGGGAGAGGGATAACAAGCTATGGTCAGGGAAGAGGGCGGTGCAACTTCAAGAACACCGAAGTTCTAGGGAAGAGTGTACGTGGTAATAGAACCTAATGCCCAAGCGAGGAATGAATTGGTGTCAGGTATGGTCTTTATTTTTGATGGTCTAGCACGTGTATTATTTGACACTGGAGCCACCCACCCATTTATTTCATATGATTACATTGAATGGGTAGATAAACCCCCTACCCCTCTAGATGAAAGTTTAATGATTGCAGGTGCTTTGGGTCAAACGGGAGAAACTAGTTATATCCTGAGAAACTGTAGAATTCAAGTGGAGAGTCATGAATTATCTATCAACTTAATACAATTAAATATTAAAAATTATGATGTGATTATTGGGATGGATTGGCTTTTTGCATATCATGCTTCAGTTTATTGTGCTCGTAAGGATGTGATATTCAAAATGCTTGGCGCAAACCTTTCAGCTATTGTGCTGATCCAAGGAATGCCCCAGTATTTTTATCTCTATTCTAGAGGTTAGAAAGTTGTTAAGGAATGGATGTCAAGGTTACCTAGCATTTGTTCGGGACACTAGGGTAGACAAAGGGGCATTGAATGAAATTCCTGTGGTACAAGAATTCCCAGATGTCTTTCCATAGGATTTACTAGGACTACCAGTGGATTGAGAGATAGAGTTTACCAATGAATTACTTCCAAGTACAAGCCCTATCTCAATGGCATCGTATCGGATGGATCCAGCAGAATTAAAGGAACTAAAGGTACAATTATTGGTTTTGCTAGATAGGAAGTTCATTCAGCTTAGTACTTCCTCTTGGGGAGCACCAGTTTTGTTTGCCAAAAAGAAGAATGGAACTATGAGGCTATGTATTGATTACCAACAGTCAAATAAAATGACCATCCAAAATAAATATCCTTTGCCTAGAATTGATAATTATTTGATCAGTTGCAGGGAGAAAAAGTATTTTCAAATATTGATTTGGGGACGGGACATCACCAGTTAAAGATTAAGGAAAGTGATGTTCCAAAAACTGCATTTAGAACAAGGTATGGGCACTATGAATTCTTGATAATGCCTTTTGGTTTGACTAATGCGTCTGCGGCATTATGTATTTAATGAATAGGGTGTTTCAATCATACCTAAATTCATTAGTTATTGTATTCATTGATGACATACTAGTTTACTCTCGTAATGCAATCGAGGATGAGGAACATCTTACAATTGTATTGCAAACATTGGGAGAAAAAGACTTACATGCTAAACTGAGTAAATGTGAATTTTGGCTAGATCAAGTAGTATTTTTGGGTCTTGTAGTATCTGGTGATGGGATTAAGGTACATCCAAAGAAAATAGAAGTCGTAGTAGAATGGGACATACCAAAGAATGTGATTGAAATACGTAGTTTCCTAGGTTTTGTCGGGTATTATCAGAGATTTGTTCAAGAATTTTTTGTTATAGCCTCTCGTCTAATTAGATTAACTCGGAAAGATGTTAAGTATGAGTGAACAGAGGAATGTGAAAAGAGTTTTCAAGATTTGTCGGATCGATTAGTATTTACTCCGATATTGAATCTACCTTTTGGTGGTGAGAATTTTGTGATTTATAGTGATGCATCCCATCAAGGGTTGGGTTGTATGTTAATGCTAGGTGGGAAGGTGATTCCTTATGCTTCAAGACAACTAAAAACTCGTGAACACAATTATCCTACTCACGACTTAAAGTTGGCTGCAATTGTATTTGCTTTAAAATTATGAAGAGACTAGTATGGAGAGGCCAATGAAATCTATACTGATCATCGAAGTTTAAAATACTTATTTATTTAGAAAGATTTGAATTAAAGGCAAAAGAGGTGGATGAAATTAATCAAGGATTATGACTACGTCATTCATGATCACCCAAGAAAAGCTAATATGGTTGTTGATGCATTGAGCCGGAAAAGCATTAGGAAGAGTAAATTGTGTCCAGTGTAGTAGAGTCGACCAAATTACTGAAATGAAGCTAATGAGAGTAGAATTTGGGTTCAGCAATTTGAATGTTTTATTTGCACAGTGCAATGTCGGCCAATGTTGATAGATCACATTCAGAAGCTACAACAACATGACCCACAGTTAGAAAAGATAAAAAAAGAGGTACAGAGTGGTGTTAGAACTGACTTTGTAGTTAGAGAAGATACTCTATTGTTTGGGCACTCGGTTATTTGTCCGAAGTGACACAAGTTTGAAAGAAGATATTTTAGATGAAGCTCATAGTTCAATATATGCTATGCATCCTGATTGTACTAAATTGTACCGTGATCTTCAGGAATATTATTAATGGAGCGGCATGAAGAAGGAAATAGCAGAATTCGTAGCATGTTGCTTAGTATGTCAACAAGTGAAGATGGAACACCAATACCCAACTGGATTACCACAATCATTACCTATACTTGAATGGAAGTGAGAACACATCACTATGCATTTGTGATTGGGCTACCTCGTACATATGACTTTTTTTGGGTGATGGTGGATAGGTTAACAAAATCGGCACATTTTCTTCCTGCTAAGACTACTCATACACTGGACAGGTATGCTAAATTATATGTGGATGAAATAGTGAGATTGCATGGTCTCCAATATGGATTATTGTGGATAGAGATCCCAAGTTTACTTCTAGCTTTTGGACAAGCTTGCAATATACTTTGGGAACTACTCTGAAGTTTAGCACAACTTTCCTCAAATGGATGACCAATCAGAAAGGACTATACAAACTTTGGAGAATATGTTGAGGGCTTGTGTTTTGGATTTCAAAGGTAGTTGGGGTACCCATTTGCCACTCATTGAATTTGCTTATAGCAATAGTTGCCAAGCAAGTATAGGGATGGCTCTATATAAAGCGTTTTATGGTAGAAGATGTTGAACACCAATATGTTGGGGTGAGGTGAGGGAAACAAAGCTTTTGGGCCTAGAAATAGTGGAAGTAACTACTTAAAAAGTAAAGCTGATTCAGGAATGATTAAAAATAGCCCAAAGTAGACAAAAGAGTTATGCTGAAACTCGAAGGATGAACCTAGAATTTGCAGTGGGTGATCAAGTATTCCTCCTAGTTTCACCCTGGAAAGGAGTGTTAAGCTTTGGAAAGAAAGGAAAATTGAGTCCTCGATATATAGGGCCTTATAAAATTATAGAGAGGATAGGTGCAACAGCTTGCGAGATAGCACTACATATGGAGTTATCTTGATAACACAATGTGTTTCATGTGTCCATGCTTAGAAAGTATCTGCCAGAGCCATCACATGTGTTAGCCAATCAACGAATAGAATTGAAAGAGGATTTGACCTATATTGAAGATCCAGTGCAGATTCTAGATCGCAGACATCAAGTATTACGTACTAAGACCATTCCATTAGTGAAGGTCATGTGGAGAAATCACTCTATTGAAGAAGCAACCTGGGAAAGCGAAGAAAAAATGAGAGCCCAATATCCTCACTTGTTTTAGAAAGGTAAGTAAATTTCGGGGACAAAATTTTTTTATGATGGGGAGATTTGTGAAACCCAAAACATGTAGGGTAGTTGCATTTAAAGTATGACAAGTTTAATGTGACTATTTAAATTTTTTGTTAGTTATATTGGTGGCATGACAAGATCGGGAAAAGCCTTGTCGTATAATATTTTATATCGAAGTTAGAAGGTGGAATTAGAAATTAAAAAAAAAAAAAGACAATTATTTAAGTTCATTTATATATTTTATGCTTTGTTACGTTTTTTTTATCTAAGAATTATACTTTATAAATGATATATGGTAGGTTGATTAGATACCTAAATAACAATGAATAAAATAATAAGCATAAATTAAGGAATTAAAAGAATAGTATTAAGTGTATGTGTGTGCTGGAGGTGTGAGAAGATGAGGTGTTTAAAGGTGAAGTAAATAGAAGTCTATGTGGGTTAGGGAAGGGGGCCACGTTGGTTTCTCCATGAAGACTTGGCGTGTGTGTGTGCGATGTGTATTAGATGGAAGCATGAGTTGCCACTTTTGTGGGAAGTGAGTTAAATATTATTCATCCCATAAGGCCGGCTGGAGGAAGGGAAGAACTTACAGCTAGGGTGAATAAAAAGAAAAGGAAGAGAAACAGCAAAGAAAGACAAGGAGGGCAAAAAGAGAGGTGCGGAGAAGACCGCATCAGCTTGTGTTGCTAGTAGTAGACTTCGTACGGAAAAGTGATTTGGTGAGTGGAGTGTTTACGGAAAAGCTGTGTATACAATGCTATATAGTTTGGAAACTAAATTAAGGTGAGTATACAATGTTATATAGTTTGGAAACTAAATTACTAGTATATATATGGCTTATGAATATAATTTTTGAAATTTAAGAACAATACTTTAAAACTAAAGACAAAGTAGTAAAACTAAAGTATGGCAGCTAGAAAGAAAATAATTGCAAAGAAATGATAATCTTTTTTCCCTCAAAGGTCTTTGCTTGACCCCAAAAGTTGGTAAATAATAAAGTGGTTCTCAAATGCAGGAATGTATAGTTTAGTAACTTGGTCGATTACCGAGGTCGTCTTCTGAGGGAAAACGAAGGACAAATTTGAATGGTGACAAAAGTAAAACAAAAATAAAAATAAAGAGTTCTTTGAAAGTAACAGTTTTTGGTAACTACCTAAATTAAAGGTAAATTCAATAAAATAAAAAACAAGATAATCTTTGGATTTCATTCCAGTCATGAACATAAATTTACATTTTAAATTTATAACTCATCTGTTTTCGTATTCAAACTACTACAAACGGATGATTTTCAACTTATGTTCATGATAGAAGAACTAAAGTAGCAATTGAAAGATGGTTTATGATTGAAGAATCGGTACTCTAAAGGTTGCAGGAAACAATACAATTATTTGTACCAAGCCTAATTGCATACAAATAGCAGGGACCTATGCAAACTAATTAGGTTTTCAAAAGCATAATCTGTTCAATCAATCACATAAACGCTAAAACCCTAGTTTA